AAAATATTAAAATTTAATTACAAAATTAAAAATTTGTTTTTAAATATTTAAGACTATATAGTTAAGTTTTTAAATATACAAATATTTATATTATTTTAATAAAATATTTATTTTGATAAATTAATTTAAAAATTTAAAAATATTAAAATTTAATTACAAAATTAAAAATTTGTTTTTAAATATTTAAGACTATATAGTTAAGTTTTTAAATATACAAATATTTATATTATTTTAATAAAATATTTATTTTGATAAATTAATTTAAAAATTTAAAAATATTAAAATTTAATTACAAAATTAAAAATTTGTTTTTAAATATTTAAGACTATATAGTTAAGTTTTTAAATATTTAAAAATATACAAATATTTATATTTATAATTAAATTTTAATAATTTTGAGTTTTTAAAATTATTTTAGTAAACTAAATATTTTAATAATTATTTATTAAAAATAAACTAATAAATTACAATGTTTATTAGCTAGATCAATATACTCTTTCCAATAATCACTTAAACCAAAAATTTCTTACTAACAGAAAAACAAATTTTTGTTAGAGAGTCATGGTTGATGTAGTGGTTTGTCTAGAGGTCAATATTTACTCTGCAGGACTCCTCTAAAAGACATTTAGCATGTAAGCCAGGAGCATTACTATACAAGTTAACTGGCTAGGTAACAATAAACCCAGAGGTAGTGCTCTTGTATATAAAATCTTGGTAGAGTAAGAACAAAGCCCAACTTCGTTGATGAAACTAATTAACTATTAACAAAAAACACAGAGAATACAACAAAATTTTAGTTTTTTCATGCCGCACTCTTTTACTTGGATAAGTGGTTCTTTTCTTTACTCACTCCTGCTTCTCTATCGGTTTTCCAAATTTTTTTTAAAAAGTGGGGATTTGGCTTACCCCCTCTAAAAGATTGACATTGTTTACTTTCTAATTCGGACAACCTAATAAATTGCAACCACATGTTTTACAGGCATGGCAAGTTAGAATCAGACCCCAGCATGGAACCTCTAATAACAGCAGCAGTTGGCTTGAGATACGGGTCTATGGACAGCAGCAGTACCTGGCATGAGATATGAATTAGGATGAGCATGACATAGTTATTTGGAGTTGATCAGAAGGTTAAAAAGAAGAATTGAACATTAAGGCAAAGCTTTACAACAGGGATATACAAATATTGCATTTGTTATATAATTTTTATACTCACCTAACATGGATTATAATAGTTTATTTTCTTTTTCTTTTTATAGGTGTGTTCATCAGAACTAACCTATTATCTTTTTTTTTGCTTTTTTCATCTTTTTCTATTATGTTAGAATACTGTTTAGAATTTTTTTTTGGTTATATCTTTTTTTTCTGTTTTTCTCTTTCTTTTCCTAGATATAGTTTTTTTTCTTTCGTAAATGTGGCATATATTTTTTTCTTATAAATAAGTAAGGAATTAACTATTCTGCCCGGATCTAGATAAAAAAAGTTTTAAAGAAGGAATAGGTAGTCTTGATAGGCTAGTAAAAACCTTCCAGTAAAGTTTTATTTTCTTCAAGTGCAGAAGTGAATATTACAAAGAAAAATTCTACTTATAGCAGATTACATATAGATAATTTGGACTTCGGTCACAAAGAGCTAGGTGAACTAATCCTTGTAATTTAGGCATTGTAAAAACTTGATTTTTAGATACTTGTTTTTTATAAATTTGTAATATTTCTCAGTATAATATTCTCAAGCCTAATAAAATAGAGGCAAAATTGCCAAATTGTTTCAAAAAAAATAAACTAATAAATTATAATTTATTTATTGTATAATATTTGAAATTTTTAATAATTAATTTTAATAATTTATAATTATAATTTATTATTTTTTTATTAATATTATAAAATAGGTTAGGGTCTCATAGCCTAGTGGTCTGGGTGTTTAATTCTTCACAGATGAGGTTAACAATTAGATTATAGCTGGTGGTAATTAATTTAATTAATTATCTCTGTAACTTTCAGGAGCTTTCATATGCAAAACCCTGTAGTGGTAAGACTATGTGATATACATATTTAGCTGATAAAGAATTTTTGAAAAGAGTCTTGAGCCATAGAGAAGACTGGGCACTGTGTATAACATACTGCAAAAGGCTGTGTGTATGAATTCATAATTGCAAGGTAGTACCAACAACCCTAAGGTGGCATTGGGATCTTGATTGGGAGGATGGCTGAATGCGGTATATCCAGAAGTGGTAAAAAAAGTGAACATAGTAAGAAGCTGTGGTAAAAGAATGGCTTTACTAAATATAGAACACCTCTGGCATGAGAAAACAAGAAAAACTGGCTAAAAGAAACCCGAATATATGGAAGCAAGCAATCTGGTAATACAAAAATAAAGACAGGCTAGGGAGTAATAGTCGCACAACCTATATAGGAGTTTATGACAAAACACAGCAGAGCCACAGATTCTGGGTTACTAGATTGTAACAGTAATTAATTAAATGAGATACTTAACTCCTGTTCTAAGAATCCAGACCCTGTATCACTATACCAATTGGGAGTACTAAGATAGATCAGTAGTTTAATTTGGTGGTGCATGATGCTAACACTTGAAAATCATAAAATAACATCCTGGTTGTGGCTGCAGATCCTGTACCTGGCTTGAGATACGAACTAGGCCCTTAGAGTAATATCCTGAGGACACCAAACTGGAAGCACCAAGAGCGACCACTTGAGAGACACCAATTTGAAAGTAGTACAAGAAGCGAATTAGGAGCAATGTAATAAGTAATGAGAAATAGAAGTTAGCTGGTAGACATTGTACAGTAGTATATAAGTGGGATATATGTGATAAAAATAGGTTTGAAAACTATCTAATAAGTTTGAAAACTGGCCTGTTGTGGGACGGTTGATAAGGAGGTAAAATCTTATATAACAGGTCATACATAGATACTAAGTTAGTAACTGGGTGTGTCTTATCTGTAATAAATTAGATAGTTGTAAATATATATATGTACATTTGTAATCGCAATACCTTAGTGTACTAATAAACAGTTAAGGCAAGTTTGCCAAATTAAAAAAAAATAAAAATAAAAAAAAAATAAAATAAAATTAATTAATTAATTATTATAAAATAAATTTAAAATATTATTTAAATAGTTATTTATACAAGAAAATTAGTATAATAATTTAATTAATTGGATTATTTCTGATAATCAATTATTTATTATTTTAGAAAACAAATCTTTTTAAACTATAATTAAAAAACTTAATAGTATTGCAAAAATTCTTTCTGCAGATACTATTTAATTATAAACAAGCTAATATACAAAAAAAATTACAAGAAATACTAGGCAAAATTTTATATACTCTTAATACTTGGACTTCTAGAAGCAAAAAATCTTTTATTAGAATAACAGGACATTGGATTTCAAATGATTGGAAACTTCAACAATGTACTATTGAATTTTGTTATTTTGAAGGTTCTCATGCAGACAAAAATTTATCTAAAGTATTTTTTAAAGTATTAAAAGATAATAATCTTTTAACAAAAGTAATTTATTTTTATTATTTTTTATTTTTTATAAATAAAATTAGAGTTTAATTTTTTTGTGCACCTGCACTATAGTGCATTTTCACTATATCTCAAAATTTTATTAGGGTAACTCTGTTGTGTAACTAACAAAAAATGTTCCTTTTGCAATTTTATCTAACCTAACTCTAACCCAAACACTAACACTAATCTAAATACTAACTTTAACCCTAACTCTAATTATTAGCAGGTGTACTATTAAAAATAGTACACTAAATTAATAAACCCAATAGTTATAACAAGGTGCACAATTGTGCAGGTGTATAAAAAACATTTACTCGTAAAATTAATTAATAACTATTTATTTTTTATTTTTTAGATATTAGATATTACTACTAATAATGCCTCGAATATAAATTCTATGTTTGCTAATTTAGAAGAAAAATATTTTAATGAAGATTTAGAATTTAGTTTTGCAAATCAACATATATATTGTCTTGCTTATATAATTAACTTAGCTGTTCAAGAAATTTTTAAATCATTATATAATAATAATTTTGAAGAAGAAGAATTTGATGAATATAGTAATGATAATGAAGAAATTGATACTTTAGGAGCTTTTGGAAAAGTATAATTTATTTTAATAAAAATTTTTATTAATTTTATTAAATTTTATTTTAGTTAAAAAAATTAGTAATTAAAATTCATAAATCTTCACAAAAACGTGAATGTCTTAGTTATCAATATTTTATTTCACAAATTAAAAAATTCGAATTAATTGATAATATAAAAACAAGATGGAACTCAACATATGATATGATTGAAAGAGTATTAAATTTACAACAAGTAATTAAATTTATTTTATATTATTTAAATAATTTTTTTAAAATATTAATTTTTTTATTAGGCATTAGATAAATTAGTAATAATAGATAAAAGTTTTACAAAATATACTTTAACAAATAATGAGTGGAAAAAACTTGAACAGATAAAAAAATTATTAAAGGTATATATATAATTAGATTTTAAATTTAAATGAATAAAAATATATTTATTTAATATATTATTTATAATTTATTATTATTTAAATTTAAAATTTTAATTAATTTTTTAGTGTTTTAAAGATGCTACTCTTGAAATAAGTGCTTCAACTTATCCTACACTTAGTTATACTATTCCTATTTATAATTATTTATTAGATTTAATTGAAAAATTTCTTAAAGAAGATTCTTATTCTAATGATATTATTAATGCTATTAACAAAGCAAAACTTAAATTACAAAAATATTATCCAACAACTAATGGACCTGTTTATACAATTTTTACTAGTATGTAATTTTTAATTTAATTTTTTAATTAATTAAAACTAATTATTTGTTTATTTATAGTTATTGATCCACGTCTTAAGTTAGAATATTTTAAAGATCATGACTTTAAGGATGAAACTATTGAAAAATATCAACAAGAAATTGTTAATTTATGGAAAACTAAATATATACCAGCTTTAAATCAAAATAATAATCAAGCAACTAATAATTCTAGTAGACTTATAGCTTATATAGTTAATAAAAGAAAATATACTAAGGTTGATGAACTTATAAAATATTTACAAGAACCTCCATCAAATTATAATATAGATATATTAATATTTTGGAAGGTATAAAATTTATATTATATATATATTATTTAAATAAAATTAATTAATTAAATAAAAAAATTAATTTATATAGCTTAATGAAAAGACTATCCAAATTTATCAAAAATGGCTAGAGATTTTTTAGCAATTCCAGGTAAAGTAGATTTTTAAAATTAAATTATTTTAATAAATATTATTTTTATTTATAATATTTAATTTTTATTATATAATTAGGAACAAGTGTTCCTGTTAAGCGTATATTTTCTAATAGTGCAGATTTAATTTCTTCTAAAAGATATAGTTTAAAACCAGAAACAATTAAAATTTGTATGTATTTAAAAAGTTGGTTAAAATTTAAAAATGAATAGTATAAATTAAAAAATTTTATATTATATATAATAATATTATATAAATATTTATTAATAGGTTTTTTTTTAGTTTGTTAATTTAACTTTTTTTCTATTAGTATTATTTATATATTATTATTATATTATATTATTATATATTATTACTATATTATTATATTATTTTATATTATATTATATTGTTATATTTTTATATTATTATATATATTATTTATTTATAAAATAAATTATATTTTTAAACTAACTATTATATATTAACTAGTGCGATGGGTGGTGCTTTGCGCCACCCATCTTATTTGTTTAATCAAATTACTGTTAAAAATTCTTTACAGAATTTATTATTTATTGCAATATGGGTTACAGTTAAGATTGTCAATTTTTACCATAATTTGAAATAATAATTTTTATTACTGAGCTTGCTATTCGATATGTAGTCACAGTTGAATTTATTGCATTAGAATTATTATTACAGTTAATTACATGTTTTCTTGAAACATAATCGTTAAGATGAATAGAATTAAATTTAATTTTCACCTTGGTAATTTATTGAACAATTGAATGATTATGGTTAATCAATGTCTTGTAACACAATCGTTAGAGCGAATCGAATTAAACTTCATATTCATATGGTAATTTATTTGAATGTTTAAGTGATTACAGTTAATTACACATTCTCTTGAAGCACAATTGTTAAAGCGAATCGAATTAAACTTCGTATCACCCTGGTAATTTATTAAACGATTGAATGATTACGATTAATCAATGTCTTGAAATACAATCGTTAAAGGAATCGAATTAAGCTTCATACTCACCCTGGTAATTTATTTGAATGATTAAATGATTATGGTCAATCACATGTTCTCTTGAAATACAATCGTTAAAGCAAATCGAATTAAATTTTGTACTTACCCTGGTAATTAATTCGAGATTATAGTTAATCAATGTCTTAAAACACAATTGTTAAAGCGAATCAAATTTAACTTCATATCCACTCTGGTAATTTATTTGAACGATTAAATGATCACAGTTAATCACACATTCTCTTGAAACACAATCGTTAAGGTGAATCGTATTAAACTTTGTACTCACCCTGGTATTTATTGAACAATTGAATGGTTATGGTTAATCATACTTTCTCTTGAAACACAGTCATTAAGGCGAAACGAATTAAACTTTGTACTCACCTTGGTAATTTATTGAACGATTGAATAATTATGGTTAATCAATGTTTTAAACACAATCGTTAAAGCGAATTGATTTAAACTTCGTACTCACCCTGATAATTTATTTGAATGGTTAAATGGAATCGAATTAAATTTCGTTTTCACCCTGGTAATTTATTTAAAGGATTGAATAATTATTGTTAATCACACATTCTCCTGAAACACAAATGTTAAAGCGAATCGAATTAATCTTTGTACTCACCCTGGTAATTCATTTGACAATTGAATGATTATGGTTAATCACACATTCTCTTGAAATGCAAACATTAGTGAATTGAATTAAACTTTGTATTCACCTTGGTAATTTATTGAATGATTGAATGATCACGGTTTATCAATATTATTAAACACTATCATTAAAGCGAATTTAATTAAGCTTCATACTCTCCCTAGTAATTTATTTGAACTATTAAATAATTATAGTTAATTACACATTCTTTTGAAACACAATTGTTAAAGCGAATCGAATTAAATTTCATTCTCACCTTGGTAATTTATTTGAATGATTAATTAATCAATATTTTGAAACACAATCGTTAAAGTAAATCAATTAAACTTTGTACTCACCCTTGTAATTTATTTGAACAATTGAATAATTATGATTAATTAATGTCTTGAAATACAATCGTTAAAGCGTATCGAGCTAAACTTCATTCTCACCTTGGTAATTTATTTGAAGGATTGAATATTGCAGTTAATCTATTTCTTGAAACACAATCGTTAAAGCAAATCAAATTAAATTTCATACTCACCCTGGTAGTTTATTTAACGATTAAATTATTACAGTTAATGAATATCTTGAAATGTATTCATTAAAGTGAACTGAATAATACTTATACTTACCTGGTAATAAATTTGAATGATTGAATAATTATGGCTAGAAACACAATCGTTAAAGCAAATTGAACTAAATTTCATACTTACCTGGTAATTTTTTTGAACAATTGAATAATTACAGTTAACCAATGTCTTAAAACATATTCATTAAATCGAATCAAATTAAACTTGTACTCACTCTGTAATTTATTTGAATGATTAAATGATTATGGTTAATTACACATTCTCTTGAAGCACAATCATTAAAGTGAATCGAATTAAACTTCATACTCATCTTTGTAATTTGTTGAATGATTGAATGATACAGTTAATTAATATTATGAAACACAATATTAAAGTGAATTTAATTAAGCTTCATACTTACTCTAGTAATTTATTTGAACTATTAAACAATTATACATTCTCTTGAAACACAATTGTTAAAGCGAATCAAATTAAATTTCATTCTCACCCTGATAATTTATTTGAACGATT